ATTCTGAAGCACCCCTCTTTAAGATTTTGCCCCTCCCCCTATTCTTGCCAAATTAAATCTTGGACCGCTGTTGACTTTCCACAGATCCTGGCAGCTGGTTAGGTTTGTTTGTGTTGTGAAAGAGGAAATGTCAGCCTTTGCTGTCAGTAAAACACGACCACGCTGATTTTGCTGTGCATAGCATGTGGTTTTGGTTAGCCTCCAATGGCTGGAGCTCAGATTACACATGCGGCTGATGACGGAGGTAGACATTCCTTGCCAGAGGCTGTGAGTATGGACTATTGAGGCCACAACAAAGGGAATCATAGCACTCCTAGCAGCGAACAGCAGCCTCCATGGAAGACAACTATCATTTTGTTGGCATCCACTATAATTTCTCTGTGCAGGCACCAAGTAACACTGAACGATACATTTCATTCACATAAAGAAATAACATAGAACATTCACTCATATGCCTGTAAATGTCCCCTTACCAGCAGAAAAACAAACTGGAGATACATGGGGGGAAATGTACGGAATCTGGAGCAAACAGAATCTGGATCAGCTGCCCATGGCGAACAATCAGCATCTCTCATGTAAGATTTAAAAATGAGAGAGAGAAGCTGATTGGCTGCAGTGCAAATCTGCTCCAGATTTTGTCTGCTCCAGTTTTGATAAATTCCCCTCATTGTATGGAGCTCTATTCACTTCTGCAAAGGTAACGGCGGCCTCTTCTTAGACATGTTAGGCTAAGAGAGGCTGGCCGGTGGCTGCCTGCAGAGTTCCCCTGGAGGACTACTTAAAGAGAAAGTCACCTGTGTGTGTCGTAGAACCTGAAAGAAAATGGAATTTGTGTGCGGTTACTGGATGCTTTAATTGTGTTCAGGAATAACAGGCATCACATTTTTCATCAAATATAAAGTGCGTCAGTTACAGAATAGTAGATTCAGTTTGGTTATATTCACTGCAAAGGGGAACAGGAAACTGAGAAAGAACATTGGATGAGAGGGGAGGGGGGAAGGATAGATGCGGTCCTATGTCATAAAAAAATATATTCTTACTATGTTACAGATTTTGTGTTCCAGAGTCTTTCCAGATTGCTCAACTCTCTTATGATCTGTGCTAATTTAAAGTAGAATTGTGGCCAGGCCGTGGACATTCAGATATTTACATATTTCTTACAAGCAGAAAGACAGCTTTAAAACAAGCCGTGACCTTTGTAGCTGAGGGCACTGTGGAGCAATTCATCTTCAAATTTCACAAGCACTGAAGATGTTCAAGGTGGGCCTCAGCACTTTGCTCTCTCATCTTCTTCCTGTGCCCCGCTTGTGGCAGGGTGCAATGCCACTGCTGGGGGATGAGCTGCTGAGTCACTCCTGGGAGGGTAGAGCATGAGGAGCTGAGCTTGGGAGCAGGGAGAGCTGAGTTGTTTAGTCACTGCTGTGAGTGGAGAGCAGGGGGGCTGAGTTGCTGAGTTACTGATAGGAAGGGAGAGCAGGGGAAGATGAGCGGCTGAGTCACTACTGGGAGGGTAGAGCATGAGGAGCTGAGCTACTCAGTTACTGCTGGGAGGGGGGAGCAGGGAGACTGAAGCTTCTGAGTTACTGCTGTGAGGGCAGAGGGGGCGGGGGGGAGTTACTGCTAGCAAGGGAGAGCAGGGGAAGATGAGAGCAGCTGAGTCACTACTGGGAGAGGGAGGGCAGGGGGAGATGAGTTGCTGAGTCACTACTGGGAGAGGGAGGGCAGGGGGAGATGAGTTGCTGAGTCACTACTAGGAGAGGGAGGGCAGGGGGAGATGAGTTGCTGAGTCACTACTGGGAGAGGGAGGGCAGGGGGAGATGAGGTGCTGAGTTTACCACTGGGAGGGCAGAGCAGGGGGAGCTGAGCTACTTAGTTACTGCTCGGAGGGGAGAGGAGACAGGGAAATGAGCTGCTGAGTTAATGCTGGAAAGGGGGAGCAGGCGAGGATGAGCTGCTGAATTACTGCTGGAAAGGGGAAGCAGGGGAGATACAGAGGTCAGGGCTTTTTTAAAACCTCACGTACTGCTTGTGAAGAATTTTGGAAGTGTATTAATGTGTTGTGCCTGGACACGGTTCTACTTTAAAGTAAAAAAATAAATAAATACACTCATACACATTAGACACAGCATGTCACTGTAAGAACATTGAAGGCTTGTATGAACGCGTCTACTTTCTTCTGAGCTATAACTTGTGTGTCCTGACCATTCAGGGCACCTCAGACTCAGATGAATGCAGGTTACAGTTGATCATCTGGGGACATATTTTTAAAGTGGCATTTTTTAAGGTTCACACATTTTCACGCTGCAAATGAGGGTTTGAGCCTAGACTCCTGATTTGCATATGGCAGCAATTGTGCCCTGCTCCTGGTGCACCAAAGTGTTATAACACTGCAGAAAACAGAGACCGTCACAGATCCAACATTAACTGCTCTCTGGCCTAAAGTGACACCAAACTCAGGCATTAAATCTTAAAAATGCATTAAAGTACTTTAACCATTAACAAAAATTTACCTTATTTGTGTATCACTCGGCTGCAGATCCTCAAATCATCTCTGAATTGGTGCTGACATTGTCCTTCCTTCTGGAGGGGGGCAACTTTTGTTCCCTATGATCCCTGTGTGTGTTGTAAAGTAGTCACCGCTCCAAGATAACTCCTGTGATGTGTGACGACATGGTCATCAGTTTATGAGTTAAATGTGTATTGGTGTTGGGTAATGTTTAATTATGTTATACTGTGTAACCTGTTTATCAAAAGACTGTCAGCACCACCCCTCGTTAGCTCCCTTTGTACTCCAAGGAGCTCAGGACAATGACATTCTCCTGCGTCTGACCAGACTCCTGCTATAGCTGTCTGGGGCTCTTTAGCAGCTGGACCACTGCTGGGTTGTGCAGTCAGAATGTCTGGGGAGGGCATGGATGAATATGGATGGATGTTATGGAAATATAATTTTATCTGATCACTTTCTGTATAAAAGGTTGCACAGTTTCTCAATAAATCAGAGTTTGTTTCACCCTACACTTGGTCCCGACTAGTGACTGGGGAAACTGGGAGCTAAAAGATCAGCGGGTTGCAATATCTTCTGAGCAAGGAAGAATACAGAGGCAGACATACTCATCCTGAGTACTGTAGTCCATCACATGATGGACTACAATCTCATGTTTAGTTTACAAATTTGTATTGAGATTGTAGTCCATCACAGGAGCGAGCTTGGAGCGGTGACTACTTTACAACACACACAGGGACCATGAGGAACAAAAGTAGCCAGCCACCCTCCAGAAGGAAGGACAGTGTCGGCACCAATTCAGAAATGATTTGAGGATCTACAGCCGAGTGATGCACATACAGTATAAGACACATTTTTGTTAACAGTTAAGGAACTTGAATGCATTTTTAAGATTTAACTCCTGAGTTTAGTGTCACTTTAAAAGTAAATTATTGGAGCTCTAGGCACACACCCCGGTGCCTCACAGGTTCCTACATTCTGTTTTATTCATTTCTACCTGTTGGTCTTCACTAGCCACCTACATTTCTAGTTGGAGTACAGCTGAGTAGATGGCAATGGACTTGAGGGTGGCCTTGTAATAATATACTGTCGGTATTACACACATCAAGTAAAAATATAGAATAGCACTAAAAAAATAAATGAAGAATATCATTAATAAAAGTGGAGTTTCATTGCAAATAATTGCATGGAGTAGGGAGCAGTTTTATAATATCTGCAGGGAATACCTGCACGGCAATGCCCAACATAACGTGCCTGTCTAATCATCACAACCAGCAAACCCATTGGTTGCGATCTAGACTGACATCTATCTTTTAGGTGCAGTGGTCCTTGACTACCATGCCGTGGCTGGTGACACGCTGGGGTTATTAAGAGCTCATTCACATCAATTCAGCTTGAAATCAAAAAGTGTTTGCATGCTTTGTGCTTGGTGACGGACATTTTTAAAGTGCGACTATTGGAAAAATCATATATGATGCAGTCTGTCAGTTGCATTGACAAAGCAGTTTTTGCTTAAATGAGTCCCCCCCGTAACAAAGATTTGTTACTAGTTGATCCTGCCAGTAGATTCATTATTTTTCCACTTTGCTGTGAAATTGCACAGCAGCGTTGTCACCCTGTGGACAGAGTAGCCTCGGATGGTCATATAGATTTAAATGCATTTTATGTAACAGACAAACAAATGAAAGCCCAATTTTAGACGTAAGAAGAAACAATGGTCTTTGAAAACACCCCCGGTAGTGTTATATGGTTTGCCCCAACCCCTGTAACTGCCATGTTTGCTGGACAGCTTAGCCTGTTACAGGAAGTGGAAAAATAATCGATCTACTGGCAGAATCAACAGGTAATAAGTTTTACATTTTAGGAGTTTTTATTACAGCAGTTGCAGAGCGAAGATTGGATTTGCATTTGCATCCTCTTCTCAGGCCGGGTCCTACGAGCCACTGAGATGGAATGTTATAGGGAAACACTGTAAAATTAAAAATGACTATTTCACCTCCAACTCTCTGCAGCCTCTGAAAATAAAATGTGGAACAAACCTGCTGGTTGGAATCTTACCTTCCTTATGAAAAGAAAATGCAAAAACAATCAGCTGAATTCATCCAAGAGAGACATTTTGAAGCCATTTTTTTTTTTCTTCAAAAAGTTGGACGTCTCACCCATTTTATTGCAACTTCAGTGGGAGCGGCAAGGTGAGTGATCTGGAACCCTGCGAGCACAGAAATTCTACAAAAAATAAAAATAACCTCTTAAATCCAAATCACAGCAGACAATATTCTCACTGAACTCCAAAAAGGGGTCTTTGAACAGTCTCCATATTGCAGTTGCATCCAGAGATGTTGAGTCAGAAAAATGTCGCTCACTAACCAAAATGTCAGTTATGGAAAGTGAGGAATATTTTTTTGTTTTTTGTTTTGTCCTTTAGTTTTAATAGTTACCATTTGCACATTTTTGTGCTTTTTTATTTTCCTTTAAAGGGCTCGTGTTCGATGCCCCAGAAGTGGTTTTGTTCGATGTTTTTGATTTTATATCTCCTTTTGCTGGTAAATTTGTAACTGTTGTGTTTTGGTTACATCAGAGTTGCTTCTATTCCCTCTGGATATTAGTTAGCCAGCTTGCGCCGTAGATAGTTAAGTTGTTCTAGAAGTTGACTAAGTGCTTTTATTTGCCCCTTTCTGATGGTCCTGAATAGGCTTTTGTACAACCGCTCTACTGCCGAACAGGGATGCGCGCGGCAACCCGCATTGGCCAAAATGGATGCTTGTGTATCAGCCGCTTGCGTTGTTGTTAAAGAGCCCTCCTCATGCGACTGATGAGATCTGCCTCTGTTCATCCTGCTCTCCCTCTGTGTCACCCATCAAAGGCTGCCGCTTCTTCAACTCTCGGTGGTACTTTGCCATTAGCGAAGCATAGATACATCCGTAAGCCGCCGCCACCACCATCATGATGCAGACCACACCGCAAACCACCCCTGCAATAATCACAGTGCCGATGGCTCGCCGGACACTGGCAGGGCGATACCTCTGTTTCTGTGGGCAGTCCGGCCCTGGGTCTGGCTCTGCGAGGGCGGGGCTTGCCTTAGTGCAGGGCAGGGAAGGCCTTTCTACTGGTCCAGAGCTGTTTTCGTCTTCCAGCTGCAAGCAGTAATTAAACATCTCAACGGGGACCATCCGCATGTCCCTCCCACGCAGTTCTTTTGGGAGGGTGCATTGCAGCTCATCAATTTTACCTCCTATAGGGGCAGACAATGTAAACATTGTAGTTATTAAAAGCTCACAATCATGCCAGGAATAAACAAATAAATATGCAAAATTATCCTGGGAGAGTAACATTATAAATATACTTTGCATAATTTGTACAGCTTCATATTAACGCTTGTTACACTTCTTGGCAAACCTAGGGGATGTAACCTACAAAAACAAAGAGAGAAAGGGTTGGGACTTCAGTTGTGTTTTACTGTTGTCTGTGACTCCATTAAAGAAAGTTCACTTCACTTCCTGTGTGGTCACTGAGACAAAAAGAAGGAAATATCTTTCAAATGGAAACATAGACACCGATAAAAACCTGGTAGGTGTTCGAACCCCCACTGTATCCAAAACTAAAAGAAAAATTAATAGTTAGCTATTGAAAACCTCTACTTCTCATGAGTTGGTATTTTATGTCGGGGCGGGAGGGCGAGGGGGGGTGTGTGTATCGTCATCTCCAGGACCAGATTTCCCACAAGGCCAGCCAACCGGCCTTGGGGCAGCAGGGAGTAGAGGGGCAGCAGGGGTGTGGAATTCGTGGAATTCGTGGAATTCCTATCTCCCGATGCCCAGGACATGCAGTTCCGGCACCGGGCGGGTAGTTGTTTTCTACATTTAGCTAAATGTAAAGAGGGGAAGCTACCGCTTGTTTTGATCGGCGATGTCACCTAGATCACTTGTATGCAGCCTGCAGATCTGCCATTCTCCATGGGGGGGATGGTTGTTTGGCAGGTAGGGGGGCGCATTGGGAACCTGGCCTTGGGGCAGCAGAGAGAGTAAATCTGGCCCTGGTCATCTTCCCCTAAAATGGCTCTTTTTCCAGCTCTCCACTATAAACATACAGTCATACAGTCACTGTTTTTGCCAATTAGAAGTCACCAATATTTTTTTGGAACTAATAACCCCTGGGATAATCTTCGTGATTTGACTTTTAAATACAAAATACAGCAAAATCGATACTAGATCTGGTAAAGTGAGCAGATTTGTGCAATGAAAAAAAGATCAATTCATCAAAGCATTCAAACAATTAGCTTTGCTGAATTGACACTTAAGCTGGGATTCCCCTTTAATTTCTTGGTCAGAGTTGTGCCGTCTTTGTGGATTGTAACTGTGGCAGATGTAAAAGCGGTAACAGCCCTCGGTGTGCCAGACTGCGGATAATTATCTCTGCTCTGTGACAGGGAGCAGGTGCGCTGCTTTGTTACAAAATCATATTATTTGTGTAGATCGCGCTTCAGTACGGAAAGCGGCAATACGCGTAAAATGGGAGAGGATGATGCGTGTCCTGGTACTTCAGGAATAGTCAAACACCGTGGGACTGCATGCTGTCATAACATCTGAATTGTGGCTCACGGACAATGAGTACACTGTCAACAGACAGGATGACCTCAGTTTTGGCTTTAAAGCTAAACTACAGGCAAATCACCAAAAACATCAATAACATAATATGGGAGCTCTTTTACCTGACAAGGATTTCTATTGTTGTTTAGCCAGTCCTGATATTTGCATATGTCTGCCAGACAATGCAAAAAAGATGAAGACTTGACTGTTTTCTACTGCAGTTTAGTAGTACAACTTGGTCACCTGCCCGACCCCAGCCTGTGATTGGGCAATAAAGAAGCAGCAGACTGATGATTTCTGCTCTCCTATCAGCATCTTCAGTTTCACCTTATGTGCACCCAACCACACCTGATTGGCTCCTGGGGCTTTCTTCCTTTACTAGTCTGAGTTCTGCTGTACATGTGGGTGATACCAAACCATATTCAGGTACCTATATATTACTAGCAGAATTTAAAAATACATTTACCCACAACAACTATGCAGATAAGGACTTTTGATTCTCCACAACAGCCATACAAATAGCACCTTCAGAAAGACATCAGTGATGGCAGCTTCCATGGTTCTCTTAGAAAAGGTTGACTTTAAAGTGAGTCAATCTGAAATGATCTTTTAGGAATCTAGAAAACAGCGCTAAAATGGAGGGACAGCCATGGGAAGAAACTGTGACACCACTGGACTTGAGAAACTGGTATAACTGAAAGAGTACTTCTCTTGGGTGGTGGCGGTGGGTGGTGTTGGGTTGAATGAAACAGAATTCAGCCTTCTGCCAGGTTTCCCACTCTATCCGCTACTAAGAATTAATTGGCTGGCGCTCCACTTTAAGCTGCCATGCACGTCTACGGCTTGTCCTTCTACCTGATCTGTAACGGATACGGTCATCTATATAGTAATGAGACAAGGCAGCTCTTGATTGTTGTTACCAGTTTGTACAGTTTTATCTGATGCCGTGTACTATGGTCTATCAACTCCAAATACAGTGGTACCTCGTTTCACGAACTTAATTGGTTCCATGATTCTTTTCGCGAAGCGAATTGGTCGCGAACCAAATCAAATTTCCCCATAGGGTTCACTGTAAATCAGGTTAATCCGTTCTGACCCCTATGAACGTGGTCGCGAACGATTTTGGTAGCGAACAGAATCAAATTTTCCCATAAGGTTCATCCATTCTGAACCATATGTAAAAAAAATGTTTTAACCACAAAAATATGAAACAAAGTACAGTACAGTATGAAGAGAGTGAACACTAACCGCCCGCACGTTCTTGTCACCTTCATTACCGCTCCGCACTTTCTTTTTACCACCTTGCTTGCTCTGCACTTTTTTTGGAGCCATGCTGGATTGAATAATACTGTACAGTACTGTATTATTCACAAGTGTGCACAGGTCTGTCTGCGACCGCGATCTCGACTAGAGGAAGCTACGACCACGTGTCAGAGCGGGTAAGATGGCCGTGGTTGTGTTCGTCACCCGATTTGGAGTTTGTGGACGGAAGCAACATTTTGCCTAACTTCCTGTTCGCGAACCGAATTGTTTGCGCACAGAAGCGTTCGTGAACCCGAGGTACCTCTGTACTTGTACTGCCAAATGTATGTATCAGTTTTATTTACGATCCTGATGAGATCATCCATTTAAAGTGCATCTAAAGCCTGTTTTGGATAGAATAGTGAAACCTGAGCTCCGGGATAAGTAAATATTGCCTAAATAGAAGAGCCACGTTCATTCATATTTGAATCTTGATGTGCTGTGTGCATTTCTTCCAGCAATCCAGCATGAAACTTTGTCTTTGTGCTGGAGGTTCTTTTAAAGCACAAATTTGCCTGAAATTTAAAAACTTGTGAGCAGGAAAGGCCAAAAGTTAGAACTCCTTTAATGTTTTTTTGCGGTTTACGGTTTGCTTCCTGTCCCAGAAACACACTAGGAAGCAAGAGGAAATATCTTCGAACTGAGAGGAAATCCTTTTCTTGTCCCTAGGACAGGTATTTCTGTTGGAAGATTTCCCTTCACCTCTATGTTCCAGTAACAACTGTAACATTTTGGATTTTACATTACTCTGGTCGTCAAGGGCCACTAATAAACTCATACACCTTTTGTGGTGTACAGCTAAAATTTCACGATAAGGGTGATCGCCCTACCGGCGGCACAGACACAAGTAAAACCTAGCAGAGCTTGTAGCTCCTCGGATCTAAAACTAAAAAAAGTTTTGGCCTTAGATATTTTTTTAACTCAGGTCTCACATTGCTCAAGGATTGCATTGCGGGTTATATTCTGCCCTAAGACATCTTTAATAAAAGGTAGTTGTAGAAATGCAAGTTGTTTTCAAGGGTGGTGGCCTCATTGGTTCTATTAAAACAGCTGGTCTGTGGAGGTTCCAGAAGACTAACTAAGCCATAGAGTCTGGATTCAATTTGGAAGTGTAGTCACTTACCTCTGTATGAGAACCACTCCATCCAGTGTTTGAAGTCTCGTAGTTTGCAGTCACACTCCCATGGGTTATCCCCCAGCTGAATGTTCTCCAGGCTGCCCAGAGGCTCAAAGGTCATCCTGTCCAAACTCTGCAACCGATTGGAGCGAAGCGATAACCAGTGGAGCATTGAGAGGTCATCAAACAATCCCGGAGGTAGCTGAGACAAAAAGTTGAGAGACAGATCCAGTCTACGAAGCTGCGGCAGTCCCTGCAGGAGGTCTCGCTCTATACCACGAATGCTGTTGTTCCGCAGACGGATTTCTGTGAGGTTTCCCAGATCCGCAAAGAGGCCTGGGGGTAACTGGTCAAGGAAGTTATTGGAAAGGTCCAAGCGGTGCAGAGATGTCAAGTTGGAAAAAGGACCACCAGCAAGAGAGGTTACGCGGTTGTTGAGCATTAGAAGTATTCGGGTATCCTGGGGAAGATCGGTGGGTATAGCCGTGAGTCCTCGTCCGCTGCAGTCCACCTCCATGCTGTCAGAGTTACAGATACACGATGGAGGACAGGAGAGAAAGGAAGAGGCCACACACAAGGACAGCGAGCAGACCAGGACTGGAAGACAAAAAAGGTGAGAGAATTACCTTACATTAGGAGAAATCACAAAAACAACAGTGGTTTAGTAAGACAAATGCAGGTGCCCAAAAGAGAGGATACCAGAGAAGAGAATGGAGTTTAATGAGAAAATGTTAAAGTGTAAAGGCCAAATCAAATAAAAAAAATATATACGTGACCACAAAAAACAGAGGAAGGTAAAGAAAACAAGAGGAAATTATTTTATAAAAATACATTCTTAACCAACTGGCAGGCTTATTTAATATACACTATGTGGTTGATTTACTAAAGACAAATAGGCTGTTCACTTTGCAAGGGAATTTGCACTTTGCGCAGCATTTTCCCTTAGCTTAGTGAATGTAGTAAGGAAACATGATTGGATGATGACAGTCAGCAGAGCGTCACCTCATTCACTAAACTAAGTGAAAGTTCCCATGTAAAGCGAACAGCCTGTTTGCCTTTAGTAAATCAACCCCTATTTGGGCAAAAGATTTTGAACATCTGACAATCATATCTACTATATGGCCCCAAGTATGTGGACCCCATCCAATGATTGCGTTGGAGTGTTTCCAGTGAAGGTTACTGTTAAAGTGTTAAACCCTAACATTCTAAAATAAATTAAAGCAGCTGGCCTTAACTACTTACCTTCTGTGCTGCTGCTGCTTTAAAATCTTGATTTTCTTCCTGGTGGAATTGGTTCAAAGTTCGCTGCAAAGTTCGCTAGTTTTCGTATAGCTTTGTTGCCTTCCAGGGTTCTCTGGAGTCACCCTTATGTGCACACTCCCAGGAGAGAGATCCCAAACCCTGGAGCTATGATGGGCTAATATGCACAGGGAATGGGATGTCCAACAAGCTCATATAGGAGTGATGGTCAGGGAGTCACAAACTTTTGCATAGCAAAGACCAATATGTAATATATGGGAACAACTAAACCTCATCGTTCACTAATCAGCACTGCAGCAAATATCTGTAATTTTAAAAAAATGGAAGTTGAGGCAAAGCTTTTCTGTTTTGGAATTAGACACTTAGGGGTCTATTCACAAAGCTGCCGAAGGATCTGGCCGTAGCTTCTTTTTTCTTTATTTCTGAAGCCGGAGGTTCGTCGAACTCCTTCTGCACTTCAGGTCAGCCGAACATGCTAAGCATGTTCGGCTGATCCGAAGCCACACGAAGCAAGCCGATGTACGGCTGATTTCAGCCGATGTACGGCTGAAATCAGCCGTACCAGCCTGAAGTGAATAGCCGAACAGTGTTCGGCTCACTTCACTTCTGATCGGTCATTCACTCGGCTGCCCTCGGCAGCTTTGTGAATAGACCCCTTAGTTTAGTGAATGAGGTGACGCTCTGCTGACTGTCATCATCCAATCATGTTTCCTTACTCGTGACTGAATTTTCACTACATTCAATAAGCTAAGGGAAAATGCCGCGCAAAGTGCAAAATAGGTTAAATCATGATCCATAGTACATAACATGTAATTGTACTACTGATCATTTAACCCATTCAGCAGGGGATTATTGTAAATCTATTGCTGCAATGTACGGGACATTTGTGCTGTAATACATCCCTACATTTAACCATTCCCCCCTACTCTACCAAAAAAAATTAAAGATCCTGGCTTGAGATACTTTAATGGATGCAGCAAACAAAGCCTACATGCTTCATTCTTCTAGCCTGAGACGCCTAAACCTTGTTTGTTGCTTTCATTCAATAAATTTAGCTTTCATGAATATTTTAACTTGTGCCGGTCAACATCCTCTTGACAGATGGTACACCTTGATCTTGGAGCTCTTTAATTTTTCCCACGTTAGGCAGGCTATCCAAACATTCAAGCTCATGAATAGCAAACAGAATAGAACATTCGCAGTTGTCTTTTCATTTTAAACCTCCAGTGGCTGAAAATGTCTTTTTTTTTTTTCCTGCTCGTTTCTCATACCTGCTTAGTCACACATCAATTATCCACCAAATCTCTACAACATTTACAGGTCACCAGTGAAGGAGTGACAATAGATTGACCTTGGGCAAACTAAAGGTTTTAGTTATAAGTGTCGGCGTACCTGACTTTCAGGTCATACTAAGACTTATGGTTGAGCCGGTCCTGTGTCAGTTCACCGGGTGAGGTGTCATCTCCCCCTGCCCCTCGTCTGGGAACTGACCTTTGACTCTATAGTTTGTTACCCAGCCATTGTAGCATTATCAGGATGATAGGAACATTGTGCTAGCCCCGTACAGGCCAGGCAGGTGAACCCGGCACTTAAGTCTCATTCCTGCTACCGGTAGTTTTCATCTTTCGGCATATGCAACTTTTAACATTTCCCAAAAATGTCACCGCTGCCTAAACTATGCCTAATCCTTGCCTTAACCTGACCCTGGTACTTCACCCTCGCCTTAACCCTAAATCTGGATTCACGTGAACCCTGGATGCACAAGATCATCTATTGTCTCTGTTGTTGAAGTGGAATGCTAGCAAAGGGTATGCTGACAGAAGAGAGCAGAGAGGTGAGCTCATCAGTCTGCTGCTTCTCCTTTTACTGTCCAGTCACAGACTGGGGGAGGGAACAGACATGTAAGTGTTACTTAACTGCAGCAGAGAAAAAAATCAGGTCTCCTGCCCTGCCAGAGAAAGGGAGACAAGAGGGATGTAGGAGAAGTGACAGCAGAAGATGTTCCAGCACCCTCCAAACTAGCTTCTAGTATAAACTCACCCCTATGTCCCAGAGGACATTTGTGCGGCTGTGGAGCATGCAAAAATGGCATGTCCGCTCCTTGGTGGAACTGGTTCTAACAGATATACTGTAGATGTGTCAAAAATGGGATGTACCCATTTCTAAAAGCTGTAAAATTACAAACGGGATCGGACTTTACAGTTTATTTTGTGTGTTCCTCTTTCTAAAGAGACTAAATTATTTCCCTTGGATTTGATGGCCATGAGTTTTGTTTTCACCCTTTGTACAATATCTTTGGTTCTGCCTCTCTCTGCCAAGGCAGCTCTAATACACACATGCAGACAGCGGGTGAGCAAAAAGATTTACCATCTCTCCGGAGATTTGTCTGAATGAATTTCAAAAGCGTTTCAGTGCAGGAATACACCTGAGGCTGGAGATGTGCTGTACCGCCACTACTGTGCCGCGAGCAACATACGCACTAAACTGGATATACAAATAGGCAACCAGCAGGCCAACTTAGTTTAAAGGGCATCTTCCTTTTTTTCTGGTGTCTAAAATTAACTGTGGCCTTAAGATTTTATACATTAAAATGTTCATATTTTTTAATGCAATCTGAGGAGAAGGGCTCAGCTGCCTGTGAGATTGTGAAGGACTCAGACAGACTGATATCATTGACTCAGGGTTCTCTTATAGCACTGTGGAATACATCAGAGCTATATAAATGTTTAATAATAGTGGGTAACCTTGGTGGGACATTAGAGCTCTTCTGACACAGACCTATGTGACTGGCTTATTGTGCTCTGTACAGCACTATGGAATATGCCAGAGCTATATAAATATATATAAAATTAAAACTCTTTTTTTCCCCTTAGGGAGATCCCACCAATGAGTGAAACAATTTGAAAAATGTATCAAATCATATTATTATTAAAAAGTATTTATAATGCCAACAGTTTGAGCAGCGCTTTACAATAAAGGGAAGACATTATAATTACAATACAATTCAAGACAAGATGGTAAGGAGGGCCCTGACCCTGAGGGCTTACAATCTAAGAGGGAGAGGCAAGTGATACATGAGGAGGTAGCTGTGTGGGGATGAATTGTTTGACATATTCAAACAGTTTTAATCCAAAAAAATCATATAAATACATACACAAACATCTAAAATCCTAAAAAAAAACCCTCTTACCTACTCTTGGCTTCATGTAGGATACAGTGTCTTATATGAATAATAATGACCCCAGTCGTGAATGATGCATGAAGATCTTATATACCGGTAATAATGTCTACAACAATCTGTATATAGTCCATGATGCCAGCAGAATGTCAAGTGTTGGGAATCCTTTCATCAAAGACATATATGTATCGATATGTGATATATCACTTCAGTATCCAAAAGTAAATACGTGTTATAACTTTATATGTGCATATTGGAATATTTTGTAAATATTCATCAGGGCAAAACTATAACAAAACCAACTCAAAATATGTAATTCCAAAATGATAATTCTTCTAGCCAACACTAATTTCCATCAGCTGAAGATGTCTCCATAAACTCAAAAGGTGCAGCAGATAACAACATTCTTTCTCAGCCCTGGAGAATTGGTATCTCTGGACAAATGTCCGTATGAATGACAACCTGGGTAATGAACCTCTGACAGGGCACCTATTGAAAGTACGGCCGTACTCATCAAGCACAATATTGAGCTGGATATACTTATTTCTTACAAAGAAGAAGATGCTTCAAACAATTCACAGGTGGAAGATTCACCAACAAGTGCACATATGCGGTATCCAAAGTTCAGTTTCCATTTTCACTTTCCATCATGATAGAACACGGCTGGGATCAACAAGCCAAGGTAGTGGAAACCGGTGTTCGCTGTTTCCCCTACCTTGGCTTGTTGATCCCAGCCGTGTTCTATCATGGAAACTGAACTTTGTTTCACTCTATGGTGGGATCTCCCTAAGGGGAAAAAAAGAGTTTTCATTTAGTAGTTAAAAGGTGACCCCCAAAGTTTAATTTAAACATTTGCGCAGCCCCCTTCCCCAATGTATATATATATAAATAGTTTGTGACTGTGGTGGAACATGAACAATGTAACTGGCTCAGTGTTCTCCGTACAACACTGCAGAATATGTCAGAGCTATGAAACATGTATCATAAAAATAACAATAGTAATCATGTGTGATGGGGACATTAGAGTGTAAGCTCCTCTGGTGCATAGACTGATGTGACTGGCTCAGTGTTCTCTCTAAAGCACTACGGAATATATCAACGCTATGGAAATGCATAATAATGTGTGTGACTGTGCGGGGACATTAGAGTGTAAGCTCAT